TGTATATAATGTCAAATATTAATTAAAATGTACAGTTCAATATACTGTATGCATATTTATTAAAACAATGATTAGATAAAAATCTCTTGGCTTACAATGTGAGAACGACAAGTGTTTCCGCTAATTGCAATTAAAACCGTGTGAATTATAGTCGTATGCTATGGTATTATGTAATAAAACTACCCAGGTCCTGTAATCCAGTGGAATGTCTTACTTGGCTTACAATGTGAGAACGACAAGTGTTTCCGCTAATTGCAATTAAAACCGTGTGAATTATAGTCGTATGCTATGGTATTATGTAATAAAACTACCCAGGTCCTGTAATCCAGTGGAATGTCTTAGGTGGACAAATCGGTGATTATATTAGGGACGCGCTATAAAATCTCTATACATTTTTCATATAAAATCGGATTCAACCACTCATACTATGCGAGTCAGAGTTATTATACTAGCAATGAATGTATTTCAATGCAAAAATGTATAGTTTATATAGTGTGTTTTAAATTTATAATTTATCATATTACAATAAATTCTAAAATATTTATTTAATAAAGTATACAAATTATACAAATGAAATTATACACTAAAAAGGAAATAAATATAATTTTTAAAAATTAACTTTTACAAAACAATAAAGTGAATGAATAGTAATGTTATAATTATTAGAGTATTTTTAAAGTCTAGTCGATTGTAATCTTTTTGAAAAAGTTATTTTATATTCCGAAGTACTAAATGATATGGAAATGTTAGGGTCGGCAGCGATACCCGTACTGCTCTCTGACATCATATCGTAGTCTTGAGTCGACTGTAAAAATGTGACCAAAACTAGGAAGAGGTCAGCGATGGCTAACTTCTCGCCCAAACAAACACGTCGTCCGACACCGAACGGGATGTNAGCGATGGCTAACTTCTCGCCCAAACAAACACGTCGTCCCACACCGAACGGGATGTACGCCTTTGGACGGGTAGTCATGTACTGTCCCTCACTGTCCAGAAACCTCTCGGGTATGAATTCATTACCTTTGGCCCAATCCTTATCATTACGACAGATGATGCCCTGATGCACAAAAACTGCCATACCTTCAGGAATTGTATATTTTCCTATATAATCAACACAATTACAATTGTTTATACTATTGTCCAGGTAATTATTTTAATACCTATTTTACTGGTGACCACAGCCTTGTGGTACAGACCAGTCGGCATCATATTCCTGAACCTCAGGGTCTCGGCGATGAAAGCCATGACATAATGGCATCGACTCCTGTCCTCATGTGTTGGCATCCGGTCTCCGATTTGTGTCTCAATCTCTTGTCTCAACTTTTTCTGGACTTCCGGATAGTATGTCATCAGAAGAAGCATCCATTGAAAGGTGTTTTGCGAGGACTCAGAGCCGGCAATGAAGAGGTCCAACACAGCCATCGCCAGGTTATCGTCCGTCAAATGAGGGGCCGATTCCTTGTGGTCTCTGAGCGCCTCATTCTTAGCACTTATGAGTGCATCACAAAAGTCTCTCTCAATAGCCGCCGAGTGGTCCGAGTAATGAGATTTGAATTTATTTCTTATCATTGAAANTGCATCACAAAAGTCTCTCTCAATAGCCGCCGAGTGGTCCGAGTAATGAGATTTGAATTTATTTCTTATCATTGAAACCAAGTTTTCCAACACTTTATGGTGTTTTTCCGCTCGATTTCTGTCCAATAGTCTAATCAATGGCGAGAATTCCCATAAAATGAGCCTGGCACCCACCTCATCATGTACGTCTAGTAATATGTATTTTAATATTTTGAATTCCGAGTCATCCATACTATAACTGATATGAAAAAATAATAATGATTAATGAAAATTTGTTATTTTATGTAATAAGTTATAATAATTATTATGTGTCGTACCTTGTACCAAATGCACTGGTGGCTAATATGTTGAGAAACATAAGGCAAACATAATCCTTTATAACAAATGCTTTGTCCAGTCCTTCATTTTCTAACATAGTTTTGACAGTTTGCTGGACACAATCGTTGGCCAAATACACGAGTTTGTCATTTGTTGAGTACTTTCTATTCATAAAACATAATGAAAAATATTTAAATTATTCAATTAATTGACTTTCAAACTAAAGACTAACAGTACGGCCGAGTGGGCCACCCTTCTCAGTGCTTCCCAGGTATGTCCGTAATCGGTGAACACTACGTCTTTATATTTGTCATTTGAGAAGTGACTCCCTGTTTGAGTTCATTATAAATGTAATACATATACAGTATATACAGAGGCGGTCAGATCTATGTACTGTCGGCATATTTTGAATAACTTTTGAATGGATTAACCAATCTCAAAATGGTTTTCAGCATGTTGTAGCTGGATAATGTCAAAATCTAACGGTGTACTAAATAGTACACCGTTAGATTTTGACATTATCCAGCTACAACATGCTGAAAACCATTTTGAGATTGGTTAATCCATTCAAAAGTTATTCAAAATATGCCGACAGTACATAGATCTGACCGCCTCTGTATATATTTAAATACATATTATGCATAACTTTTTATTAAATTTAATTTATACCAAAATAAGAGGCAACTCTTCCCGAGAAGTCATTCTTGCGGAAAGCCTCCCGAGCGAGCTCTATGTCCGTTACGAACACATTGGGTACAGTTCCCAACCATACCGTGAATACCGGTCCATATTGTTTGCTAACTGATCTGAACACATCATCCCAGTGTTTGTTTGTGCGAAATACTAGTCAATACAATCATATATGATTAATTTATATTATATATTCAATAGATTTTAGTTACTTACATAATATATTCCCTAGTATCGGGATTGGAAAAGGACCTGGCGGTAATGTGAAAACAGTATAGTAGAACTTTGATAATTTATACACTAAATAAGCGATGATAATAGTAATAATAGTTGTGGTCATATCTGATGCGATTAGAAGTGTCATATTAAGTTTGTTATAAGTTTTTACTATAAAATTAAAAACTACTAACAAGTAAATATTATTTTAAATGTATTTTTAATTCAAATGTGGCTATATGTTACACTATAAAAGTATAAATACAAAGCACATTGCTATAAGTGTTTATTACTGAATCAGTCCTTGAAATACAGGTTTTGCTAATTTATAAATTTCTCATTAACTCCAATCACTACAATCAATAATATATGATCAATGTGATATATGTGATGATCAGCGTTAGAGATGAAGTCACGATGAAAATGTTAACTAACAAACTAAATGGTTGCTTTCAGTACCCTTGAAATATTTTTGAAAATTGTATAATATTTTTAATAAAAGATTTTTTCTAATACACTTCTCGGAATATAAAATATACAATAATTACCAACACCTTTATGTTGTACTTGAATTTGTAATTGATTTTTAAATTTTAGAGTCAAATATAATTAAAAGGTTTTTCTGAATATTTTTGAAAATATAATATTTCGAAATGGATTTGACTTTCAAACCCCAACCAAATTAAATCATTATAACGCCCGCAGTCGATGTGGTCGTCGGTATTGGTACTGGTATTGAGCTACCGGTGCTAATAGTAGTGGTTGTGGTGTAGTTGACACTGGTATGTATCTCATTTGGTTTGCGTGATTTACCGTTTGATGACATTTAACCTGAAATTATAAATACAAATAAAATGTTAATTATCTAATTATACAATGATGTTCGGAAAATACTCCAATCTAAAAAATTAATCTTGTACTATTTAATTTATATTAGTTATTTAGACAAAATTACAGTTTAGATTATTATAAAATTCCTAGCTAAAAGTATCACATAATAAGTCCGCATTTTTCTAAAATTTTAAATTGGATTACATTTGAACTAAAAAATAATACAAAAGATTAATAATGAGAGATTGTATTATACCAAAAATTAAAATAGAAAATCTGCCTTTGTAAGTATACAACATTTCTATATTAATCTACAGGTACAAATTAATAACTGAATAAATACAATACATATAGATAATTTTATTAATTACTAAATTATAATCATCAAATAATATTTATATTAAATGATATAGATTGTGTATGTCTCCAGTATAATTTGTTATTATTAAATTAAAATAAATTTAAATTAAAGTTTTAAAATAATATTAAATCGTCAGGATAAGAATCCATAAGTAAGTGTTACTTCATTATGTTAAATTGCTAACAAACTTTTTAAAAATATTACAGTTTATTGTTAAATTAACTTATTCAATATTTAGCTTATTTAATAATATAATTATAAATGAATAATAAATTAATTATTATAATACTAATAATCATTTAATAACCAAGGTATCAATTCTGTATTAAACTCTTGTACCAGTTTATCAAAGTCCAGGTCATCTAAGCCCAAGTCCTCGATAAGGCGTAACCTCTCGCCCAGGAAGGCCATCACATTAGAGCCTTTTAAGTGTAATATTATGTTCATTAACCATGGTTATATTTAATGATGTGGTCATACTGTAGATACCATATACAAGACATTGACTACCAATAGGTTGGCGTACTCCGAGAGACAGATCCGACTCAACCACTCCTCCACCGACTGCTCCCGAAGTCCGTCGACGACGAGTCTAACCATACGTTCAGTCAAACAAAAATGTTTTTATTATAAATAATATTATTTTATTATAATTTTAAAATTTTAAGACCACTTGTAAGACTTTAACAATGTTGTGGTGAAGCCATGTAGTAAATATTAGATAACTTTCGGAATAATTTTAAATTGCTAACTATAAATGCTACAGTTTAAAATACTTAATATTAGCTATATTTTACAACATTATTATTAGTAGTACTGATAAATAAATTTATTTTATAATATACAATATTAAGTGAATGTTACTCTTTCCAATTAAATTAATTAAAATGCAAACTCTATTATTCTACGATATTAATTTAATAATTGTACAGTTTCTATAT